TGTAGTAAGCAACTACAGACTACGCTCGGTTAGTACTGTCGCGAGTAGGTACGACGACCTACAGACTGCNCGTGTTGTACTTGCGGTGTGTAGGTAAGACAAACTTACAGACTAGCTGGGTTGTACTTGCGGCGTGTAGGTAAGACAAACTTACAGACTAGCTGTGTTGTACTTGCGGCGTGTAGGTAAGACAAACTTACAGATTAGCTGTGTTGTACTTGCGGCGTGTAGGTAAGACCGACTTACAGACTAGCTGGGTTATACTTGCGGCGTGTAGGTAAGACAAACTTACAGACTAGCTGTGTTGTACTTGCGGCGTGTAGGTAAGACCGACCTACAGACCAGTGTCCCTGTCACTGACTCAACGTTTCAGCTGGCACGGACCCAGACAATTGTATTGATTCGAGTGTGGACAGGAACACAGTCGCACTATTTCTCGCCCCGTTGAGGTCTCTGTATAAATATCTGCCACTGCCGAGGGATGCCATAGACGTTCGCGCACATACGCTTGGTAAACCAAACGCGTAGCTAGAGGTTGACCTTGTTCCCTGGATATACGCTTCAGTGTTCGTTGCTGTAGTAGCTAGCCGTTAAACGCGGACTCATACATCTTTCTTGTAGTTTGACATGGACTGACAAACTACTGTGCCTGTCATGACGGTGTAGGGTCTTGCACCAATCGCAAAGTACAGGGTAGGTATATTGTGACGAACCCCTTTTGTGTATCTGTTCTCCTTTTTTTATTTTTGCAGGAAACTTCAGTCTGGACGGGCAAAGCACTCTATTAAGTAATGTGGCGGGATGCAAGGACGATGGCTGTCGAGAGTTGGGCGGCTTTTCAGCCCAGTATTGTAAGGTGAGTGTGTGCTGGGTGATATTATGTACCTCATTTCTTGCCATGTCATGTTTTTCTGTCATCCCTATGACATTCGAGAGATCTCTGAGATTTCTGAGATTTCTGCATTAAAAAGAAAAAGACTGACACCCCGTTGGGACTGACCTGCATAAGTTAATGGCGTTCAAAACGGGCACTTCCTGGCCTGTGAATGGAGGATTGTAGGTTGCGCTCGAATAGAACTCATACCCCTGAGATGCCGTTGTACTCCCAGGGCTGCACGGGCTATTATGGAGGGGCACCGATCTATCTCGATACGGTCTCTGACTCATTGTCTATAAAAGGAACGTACCTGAACAACACGGTGAGTGGAAGTGCGTACATGTCTATAGAAGCAACGTAAACAATCACACGGTGAGTGGAAGTGCGTACAAGTTGCAGCCGGCTATCTCATTCCATACTAGGCTATATGTGTGGCATACAGCTATTTTTTTTATTTCCGTGAAATAGAATGGGATCTATCGTTCGTTTACCTCATTTACTGTCTTCAAATGTACGTAGTTACCTAAGCTGTATCGGCTCGTTCGCACAATACAATAGAATTACTTCAACCACAGCCAGGGTGGCGCTATTTTCATCGGCACGGTGGGCGCCAAACGGGCCCAAATCCAGGGCCTTTTCAGGGGCAGCTCGGCTCGCGAGGACGGGGCGATCGTCATTAACAAGATTACAGGGGGTGACCTCATGCGCATTACGGGTGTGTTCCACACTAATGCGGCAGAGGACATCTACGGGTACTGTGGCAGTCATGGGGGGGGCATTACGGTGAGAAAGGTGGAGAATGCGTCGACTCTGATCATAAACGGTACGTTTGGTATAGCTCTTGGTAGGTTTTTGATATCGGAGGGTACGTTTCTTGTATCTGATGGTATGGCTTTAATATCTGAGAGTATGTTTTGAATATCCAGTGGTATGTTTTTAATATCTTATGGTACCTTTTTAATATCTAATGTTACGTTTGTAATATCTAATAGTACGTTTTGATATTCAATGGTACGTTTTCAATATCTAATTGTGCGTTTTAATTATCTAATTGTACGTTTTTAATATCTAATGCTACGTTTTTAATCTCTCTTGGTACGTTTTTAATATCTATTGGTACATTTTATTATCTAATGGTATCTTTTTAATCTCTAAGGGACGTTTTTAATATCTAACGGTTCGTTTTCAGTATCTACTGGTACGTTTTAATATCCAATGGTACGTTTTAATATCTATTGGTACGTTTTTAATATCTAATCGTATTAGCTTATGGTGCGTTTTTAATATCTAATAGTACGTTTTTAACATTTAATGGTACGGTTTTAATATCTGTTTCTAATAGCAAATGGTATGTTTTCAATATCTAATGGTACCCTTTTAATCCCTAAGGGACGTTTTTAATATCTAACGGTACGTTTTCAGTATCTACTGGTACGTTTTCATGTCTAATAGTACAGTGTGGCATCCTTACTTAAGCATGTGTGTCAGGGTGTCACACACAACTGCATACATATACTTATGACTCAATTAGTGTACGAGACCGTTTGTAGAAAGGTGAACCATTGTTCTTGTGTAATCCTATCTCTTTGCCCTGTCTATATGCACCATTACTTTTGCACGGATGCAACGCATCACTATGGGTTTAACCTTTGTCAGTATATCTCTACCGCGCGTGAGGGTACTACATATGTACTGTACATATCATGATCCTTTGTAGGAAGGGATTCTCTCTGGAAACATCGATCTCCCGCAGGACGGGAGAGGGATGGCTATCCATTCTCTCTCTCTCTCTCTCTCTTCTCTCTCTCTCTCTCTCTCTCGTCTACTTCTCTTACGTTCTTACGTTCGTTACCGTTACGTTACGTTTACGTTTACGGTTTACGTTTACGGTTTACGTTTACG